CTTATCTGTACCCGTGTACTTGCTCTGGTCTAGCCAGATTTGTAAGGTAGAATTGGAGTCATGATAGTTGGGGGAAGGAAGTATTAAAGAACTAGAGGAAAGCTGTATGTTTCATCAGTGCTATACTGCACCCAGACTGGTTTGTCTCATCCCTGAGACCCTTCTGTAAGGGGACATCCAGTTGTCTACAGATAGGCTTTGGGTCTCCATTCTTCACCCCCCCTCATTCACAATAATATGATGTTTTTGCTCCGGGTCTTTGATGCCTGATACCTGATCCTATCGACACCTCATGATCACATAGGCAGGTGTGCTTCTACCATGTGGGCTTTGTTGCTCCTCAGTTAGATGGCCACTTGTTTATCGTCCGTCCTTTAAGTCCCCAGACGCTATATCTTTTGATAGCCAGCACCATCAGCTTTCTCCACCACATTTGCTTATGCACTTGTTTTGTCTTCAGTGATCGTGTCGGGAAGGTTAGCATCATGGAATGCCAGGTTAATAGAACAAAGTTTTCTTGCATTGAGGGAGTACTTGAGTAGAAGCCAATTGTCCATCTACTACCTTTATACTAAACCTATAAATATTTGTACATAGATCTATTTCCCTATCATCATATATAAATATATTAATATATGTACATGCCTATATTTAGACCTCTCTAAATGCCCTTTGCCTCCTAGTTCTTTCTAGTATCCTTGTACTTTCCTCTTGTCCCACTATCATGTTCAGCCTTCACTTGGGTTTCAGTAATTCCTCTCGGTTACATTGCCCTTGATCAAGCCCTACCAGGCCTCCTACACCCACCTCTCCATTGATTTTAGATCACTTGTTGTTCCCTTGTCCCTGGATTTGTTAACACCCACTTCCTTTCCCCCACCTCCCCCTCTCCCATGCCCCCCCCAACCGTTGGTCCTGTTGCTTTCCCCTCCCTGCCCATCTTATCTAGATAGACATGCAGAGACAATAATAAAAAGAAAACAAAAGAACAAAAACAAAACCAATGACAAAAAAAGAGAAAAGCCTATAAATAGTTCAAGGTCTGTTTCTTGACCTTTAGGAGTGTTTTCAGGTGGAGTCTGATGGGGTGCCACGCCCTGGCCCCAGTCTATTTTTGGTATTACCTGGGGACTTCGTTGCTCTGTTCCCCTTGCTATTCTGTTGCACACCCTTAATGTTTGGCCTTGGTGTGTTGGGGTCAGATTGGGCACAATTCCAGCACCGTGTCTCCAGTGTTGCCTTCCATAGCACTATGGGTCAGTGAGGGATATCGTGTCTTCTAATAGGCCTGGCCCTATGGTCCTCTGCGCATTGGCTACTCTAAGCAGGACTATTGTCCTCAGGGCTTGGTGGGCCAGGATGTGCTCCACTCGCTTCCTCCTCCTTCATCGCTCCTGTGTGCTCTGATCAGACATGTCCCTCTCCCTGTCCTCTGAAGTGAATTGTTCTTGGGGGCGGCGGGGCTGTCCATGTCGTTGGGATTGGTGCCAACCCCACAGACCTCTCTATTGGTTCCCTGTTTCATGCCAGTATGTTGTATTCACGTCTTGGAGCACTGGGTTGAAGTCTGGTCACTCTTTCCCTATGGAGTTATAAACAACACCCTCCCCTTGGGTGGGTTAGTGCCCTGTTCCCCTGCTACCTGTCTTTTTCCTCCCCTATCCTATTTAGTTATGACCAAAGTTTTCAATTAAATGGTTTGGGCAAAGCACTTCTTTGGTACCACATGAATTAGAAATGGTTCTCAGAATTTGGTTGTGTGAGAATGGTTATTGTACAAGGTATCCAACTAAACTTCCATTGGTAAAGGGGTAGTAGTTATTTGTAAGAGAACAACATGACATTAGACTGGAGATTAAATCAACAAGCATAAAAGTGTATACTTTACTACACACTTTCATATATGAACTTCTGGAAGGTGGATGACCTCCTAGACACCAGATCTTTCAAATAGTTAAAATTAAAACGTGGCCTTAAAATTTTTTTTGGTTTTGTTTTGAACTTCTTTTAAAAAATTACCAATTGGGAGTTAATCCATATATCATATCATTCCATAATTCAATCACGCCAAGCAGTATTGTACAATTGCTACCAAAATCAGTTTCCAAGCTTTTTTTTTCCTTCCTGGACTCCTTGACATCAGACCCCTTTTACTTCACCTCACCCCTCACCACTGTACCCCTCGGAAACCCTTATTGTACTCGCTGTCTCTATAGGTTCATCAATCCTGGGTTTCATAGAGTGAAACACAGAATTTAAGTAACTTCTGAATTGTCAAAGATTCAATGACTGCTGGTAAAACCAAATTTAGCACAAATAGTAACTATATGGTAACCCACGTATTGATTAGGTAAAACAGCTCATTCATTGCACTGGTTAACTGTGTATGAACTGCAAAACTCATCATAAGTAACAACTACATCAAAATAATTTGAATACTCAGTGGTGTGGGGGATCAACAACATTAAGGTCTTGGAAGAGATTGTGTTCTTGTTACTTCAAACAAGAGAGCAGGACTGGGGATAGTTAGCGAAGTTAAGAAACAGAGACTTAGCAGCACATGTTATGACCAAGGAGACTTGGCTGTTCATGGGTTGCTCATCAAAAGGAGGTTCTTTCTGCACCAAAGCTTTCATCCAGGTAAAAATGAGAGAGGGGAGATCCTCAAACAGAAACTCTGGAATTAGTGTTTGAAACCGTGAATTGAGTCATGGCCTTTATGTGTACACCATATATAAAAGTCTGCATTCATCATAGCCCCAATCTAAGAACATTTAGTTCTTACAACATGGTCCAGCTCAATACCTACTTCCATGAAGTGATCATTGAAGATATGGGTGCTATAGCAAAGTGTGTTGGAAAAATCAGATAGTGCCGATTATCAGAAAGGCATTGTCTCTGAGGTCTTAAATACAAGTGTATTAAAACAAGTAGCAATTTCATAAGGTATCGGCTAAGCCCACATTGAAAAATCACACCAGCATGTGTGATCCAAGAATTGTAAATAATAAAATTCATACCCTGAGGAGGAAATGGTATCAGAGCTTAAGTGAATGCTGTTTTCAGAAGACTTCAGATAACAGTGAAAACCAAAAACCCATCTGCAGAGGCCCCCATGTGGATTAAACCTCTGACAAATTCCCTTTGACTATGGACCAGCGATGTGAGAGGCCTTGCTACCTTACCAGACAGTGGACATTGCAGTTAGGTCAAAATGTGACAGCTTGTCATTGATCCAATGTATGAATGCTTCAGTTTTTAATATTTTCTGATTTGCTTTTGATTGAGGTTTTTATTTCACTGTCTCGTCATTGTTGGTCCATTTGTTTGTATGGATATCTGTGTGTACAACTCAGATTAGGTAAATCTATAGAGATAACAACATGACATAGGAGGCTGCAGAAAATGGGGAGCTAATAATGAGAACAAGGAAGAAGAAATGTCCTGGAAGCGACTGTGGCGAAGGTTGCACAACTATTTTGTTTTTAACTGAAGTAAAACATGTTCTGTTTAATGAATTCTTTTAATTATTCATTGTATTGGGGGCTCTTACAAATCTTGTGACAATCCATCATTAAATTGCATTAAGCACACTTGCGTGTATGTTGCCATCAACATTTCCAAAACATTGTCTTTCCACTTGAGCCCTTGGTATCAGCTCCTCTTTCCCCCCACCCTCTCTCATGAATCCTTGATCACTTATATATTATTGTTGTTATTTCGTGTCTTACAGTGTTCTTTGTCTCCCTTCACCCACACTTCTATTATTTGTTCCCCTTGGGGGGGCTATATATCCAACCTTGTGATGGGTTCCCTCTTTCTTCCACTTACCCCCACCCCCAGAAAACTCTTTTGAATGTGATTGAAATACTGAATTACTGTGATATGTGAATTGTATGTTGGTGACCTTGTTAAAGATAAATAAACTAATTTTAAAAAGAAGAAAACTACAGGATGTAATTTGTTGTTTTCAGTGACAAGTACCCACGAGAGTTTCCATGCACATGGCTACTATAGAGAAATAAAGCAAAAATTTGCAACAGGCCATCCTTGAATCCACAATATTAGAGAATTACTCTTGTTTAGATATGGAATTTTACCAACAGACACTTTGGGAGACACACTGAGCTAACTGCAAGGTCAGAGGTTAGAACCTAGCAGGAGCTCTGCTGTCTTCTTCTGTAAATATTTAAAGTCCCAGAAACCCACAGTGGTAGGTCTACCCTGTCGTAGAAGGTCACTATGAATCAGGAGCCACTCAATGGCAGTGAGTTTGGAGTTTTGTGACTTTGGATGAACTCATATACACAACAACCCAACTCACTGCCACTGACTCAATGCCAACTCTTAACAACCCTCTAGGGCAGGGTAGAACTGCCCCTGTGGGTTTCTGAGACTGCAATATTTTTCAGCAGTAAAAATCCCAGTCTTTCACTCACAGAGTAGCTGGTGGTTTTGAAGTGCTGACCTTGAAGATTGCAGCCCAATTTGTAACCCCTACACCACCAGAGCTCTATATTTTCAAGGTTGTTTTGGCTGCACTGTATTGTAGATGCAATATAAATTTGATTATAGAGACCTTTAATGCCTCTTTTTGCAACCTCTGGATTATTTTAGAGAGCTACATGTGTTCATTCCTAATCCTGAGGAATATTAACACAGTAATCTGCTTTCAATAGTATTCAAAAGTTCTTCCCCAAATGGTAACTAGTTCTGTTTTCTTTACTAGCAAGCAACCCCGTGATGCTAACACCTTTATTTTTACAAACACCTCCCAAAGTGTCTTTCTCTCCCCACTCCTATCTCTTTTCAGAAACAGTGTCTTAGATTCTCCCTCAGCTATCTGAGTACTATAAGTGTGCATAAACCTCTTTTGGTATGGAAGAGTTAAAAATGACTCTGAGAAGGAGCCATTTGCTGAGGATGTTCACATGAACTGCATTATCTGTAAAAGAGAAGGCTTTTAACACATCAGCTCAAGAGATAACAGCACACTGTGCTCACAACATATGGTATCTTTAATTAAGTTGATATCGACAGGTTAAAAGACATGAATTGAGAAGATAAGCTAGGGTTACTTATAATAAACTGTTTACAATATTTAAAAGTGATTGAGCACTTTTAAAGAACAGTAATTGGCTTCTTTGAGGGGAGGGGATTCAAGAGAGAAGATAAATCAGTGTTCCCCATTTATGTACAAGCAGAGACCACAAGAGAATGATTCTTATTTAAGAAGCACCAGACAGAAAGCATCAATATGTTTTTGCAGATTTATTATTTTCTAAAATTGTTTGGGGGAACTCTGCCCATTCAGGGATGAGTCAACATGAGTTGGACGAAAAAAAAACAAACCCAAACATTAAATTATGGGGGCAGGTGGTCTTATGAGTCTTGGAGAATACAGCAAAAGATAAATTGCTCCACAGACATTATAACTTAGTGTCTCAGACATTTAAAATTCATAGCACTGAGAGTGAAAAATGAATGGGAAGAAGCTCAAAATAAATTTACTCTCATTAGTGACTTGCTGTATCAGTATATATATCCTCCCATTTGGATAAACATGGATGTAAAGTTTTGCTGTTTGAATTTTAGGCTTTCCTATGCTTGCTTGTGAGGAATGGATAATTTAGGCCAGATCACGTTTAAATGACTCCACATTTTGAGCTACAAAGCTGTTTATACATTATACACATTCTTTACTTACAGAGAAAAATAAGCTGAAATACTTTTATATTAAAAACCTGGGATACAGTAGGGTTAGTAGCACCATGAAAAATAATTCTTCCAAACGGCAGCACTTTTATTTTACTGTGATTCTTCTCTTAATTGCATTTTTAATGTGCCATTTTAGTTACTGGGCAAAATATATAATCTTCATCTTGTAATCCTTGGAGAAAGTCATTCACAACCGAAAAAAGTAAATCCATTTCTTTATTTCTTTTGTGGAAACATCATGGAGACCTTGCTCTGGCACATCGGTGAGGTACATCTGCATCTTCATGGTTACTAGTTAGCATGTTCTCTTGGTCATGTATTGTAGCACCATTGGTGGCAGCAGGGGTAAAGTCGGAGAGAGTGAGATAGTTCATCCTGGTGACATGTATACACACACATGTGTATATATATACACATATCACATTTGAACAGAAGGACTTCTTCAAAATATTATGTTCTCTTCATACACACTTGGCACCGGCTAATACGTGTCCTCAAATCTCCTGCTTTCAGTGTTTCTGACTGAGGTTTGCTGGGAAATAAGAACCAACATAATAAGATGAGCCTTTTCTGGTATTTCAGTCAATCATAGTTTGAAACGCATCCTCAAACATTCTTTTTGCATTTAGCAACTCTATTGATAATTTAATGATTTACTTTATTTAAAAATTGCAAATTAGGTGGGCATGTATGTTTGTGATCATCAACGATGTAATCAGCAGTTTAAACCACCATCCACCCCACCCCCCAATAGTTTACTCCTCACTGGCTCCCTGGTTTCTCTTTTCACTCATGTGGACCCTGACCACCATCCATTTCACCCAAGTTAACACCCAGCCCATTGCTTTATCTCCCCACCCCCACCCTCACCACCCTAGTTTGGCAAATTCAAAAAATTCCAAAGCCTATTCCCTTTGGAATGAACATTTGTAATGTAAAACAACGTTTTTTATAAGAAAGTCTTTAACTTGCTTTTTTAACCTTACAATAGTGGTTTCATATAATATTTGTATTTTTGTGAATGACTTAAAGATTTACTTTTAAGCCGTGTACTCAAATGTAGCAACTGCTATGGCCTAAGAGCCATTAGCTGTCAAGTGTATTTTTATGATTCTTCTCCTCATGATGAATTACTTTTGTCTCTCTCTCTCTCTTACACATATTCCTAAAAGTTCTGGAATGAGGAAGCACCGGGCAACTGAAGATATAGATATGATAAGGACTGTAAGGGAAATATCAAATAATAATAACTCAAAATGAAACAAGTAAAATAGAAACAAATTTAAATTGGAATAATCAAATACACAGGACAATCCTGAATAATCAAATAAACAGTGCTATTCATGAAAATAGGTTGATGCGAGCCTTGAAAACATGCTGGGGAAAGAACCCACAGGGCTGGGAAAGGGAACACAGAATATAGGTTCAATTCTTGGAGCCACCTCAATCTAGTCCAACAATTGCTGATTGGTTATTGAGTAGGTTTTATAACCTTTCCTTGACTCTCTCTGTTTTGCTATTAAAAGATGACTACCAAGTCCTCTCGAATCACACTTAACAAGTCTGTTTTTCTGACCTGGGCCAGGCAGTTAAGGAGAGTAACACAAGAATAAAGAACACAGGCCAACCAATTCCTAACATTTGTTGGGTATAAACTGTTTGTGCATTACACCTCTCTTCCCTAGAATTGCCAAAGGACGCTTCAGACCTAAACTGAAGTCACAGCACCTTACCTGAACATGTCTGACACATCCACAGTTGCCAACCAAAAGCTATAGGAGTTGGCATAGTAGTTGCAAGTACCTCGCCCATGACATTCAATGAAAGGAGCTGAACGAAACTCTTCCAGGCAGGAACCAGGTGAGGCCAAGGCTTGACCTGAGCCCTCTGCTCCCGCGCTCGTGTGCTGGGAAAGACAAGGAAAAATGTGCCACAATATACAAGTGTCATAATATCTTAGTGAATATCCAAAAGACACATGCTGAGCCTGGCTGAAATTTCAAATCCAGTAGACAAACGAGGGCCAGCGGTAAGAAAATAGTATCAACACAAAGGGTAGTTAGCAGAAGCAGCAGGCAGCAGATGACAATAGGTTCTAGAAAATGTATGAGAGGAACACAGTGCTTGCACAAAACTTATTTGAGGTTCACACTTCTTAGGATGCAAATGGCAGGGATACTTCATATTGAGAAGAAATGTAGATTCCACAGACAGCTACGATGACAAAGTCGAGGAAGTATATTTCATACCATCATGAAGGAATAGCCAATCCACAGGGAATTCCATCCCTGAGGACAATGAGGAATCTGGATGGTCTGGCTGTGGATGGCAATAACCACAGCTGGAGATTCACAGACAGCACATCTGGGAAGGAACAGGAAGAGAAACATAATCCACAAAATGAGTATGTGGGAAAGAGCAGCCCTACTTCTTAGAAGGCTTCCTGGTCGAGAGGGCCATTAAGTTGTCTTCAATGCTCAAGAAAGGAGGAGAGAAATGTACTTTGAGAGTTGCGTTTGCTTAAGTCTGGTCTTCCAATACACATGAATAAAGTTATAAACTAAAACAGTTTTTCTTTTTTTAAAGGAAACTGCAGAATCACTGTTATAGCATTTCCATTTTCCCACTCTGCCTTCGATTTGCATTCATACTCACTATAGTCAATGCCATAATTACTATAAGCATTTGGCTTAGGAATTTCATATATTACTTGCTGTCAACATGCCCAATCTGAGGGTAGGGATTTATAGTAGTGTTGAAACGGTGGTAAGAACAATGCCTGGTAAACTGGAACAGACAAAACAGACTTTCTCAATCCCCACTCATCGCTTGTAGTGCAGAGGACTTTCACGAGTCACTGGGCCATATCTAGAGAAGTGCAAAATAACCCAGAATGCTGGCAAGGTACCCAAGTCACTGGGGGATGTGGCTGACATCTATCAAATCAACTAAAGCACCAACAGAGTAAATACAGCTGAGTTTACTAAATCTTTAATCAATTAAGGGCTGGAAGGGACCTCTGTGAAATATGGCAGGTCAATTTTGGCACAGTTTGCCAATACAATAAGAAATACATTTAGGGGACCTTTTACTTATAAGAGGTGGAACTGATGAATATTAAACACACACATATACAGACACAAATAATCCTTAAAAGGATTTGGGTAAATGTATTAAAAAGGTCACTATACATATTCTACTAAGAGAAGGTAGATTTTCCAGTCAGTTCTTCCTTAGGGTCATTGGACTGCTAGATCAATCAGGTCTTAGATCAGAATGAAATGGCAATATCCAATCTACCTAGGTGTGTGAGTTAAAGTAGGATGCCAAGGTGGCAAGATTCTAGGAAATCGTCATTAATAGTATCACCTTTCTTTTCCTGGCTTGTGCTTCAAACCTCCAGCTCCTCCTCCTCAGGGCTAATTAATAGCCCAATCTCTCTATTAATTTGACATCTCTAAAAGCCCCTTGCCACCAGTTCTTGTCCACTCATATCAGGATGATAGTAATAGCCCTTTCTCTGAAGTATCCCCTCTGTAATCCATCTTACATATTGAGATGGCTTCATAATCTTTACTGAAGTATAGCTCAAAAACCTTTTGAGGGTGCCACATTGTATGACGTGGCTTCAAAATGTTCATGGAAAAAGGAAATTAAATGCTAATGGAATTTTCCCGTCCACTTTTTGATGCCTCGTCATATACCAACTAAATTCTGAACTCCAATCTGGTACCCAATGCCTTTTCCCCTCTGGGCCCAAACTAACTTTCCAATCTTTTCTCTCTATGCAACTTTTACCCGATATTCTGGCTGCATAGCTCTACTAGTCATTCCCAGTTTCTTTTCTGGGTATGCATGTACTCCGTATCAACTGCTTGTGTCTAAAGTCCTTCCAACTCTTCAAGGACGGAAATGTTCCAAAATGTATGTCTTTTGGGTAGTCATCCTGGATTACTCAAGTTGGAATTAAGCATCCTTTCTTAAACTCTCATAACATTGTTTAGATTATAGCGTTTAGTTCAAATCTGGTTTATAGTAGGTAAATTTAAAGACATGAACATGAGTTCATTTTATCTTACATTATGTCTCTCCTTAAAGGCCTTGTCCAAAGGAAATAGAAATTGAACTAAATAGTGAAATGAATATTATAAAGGTACATCTGTTTTACCCAACCTGGTAGGAACATCAATAGATTCTCTTTGAATTCATTTTGTCTTAACTAACTTGGTATTGGTAAAAGTATACCCATGTCTCACCGGCTAATGAATGGCTGGATGCTCTGCCCCTTCAGGGGCTCCATGCTCATTGGCATGGGCTCTGGGGTGGAGAGCCAGTAAGAATAGTCATTTCTCGAAGCAAAATTGCAAACATTATTGATGTTGCAGAACATGAAAGGCATGGTACTGAAGTGACGAAGGCAGCTGCCAGCCGTCCCTAGGAAGAATTAGAGAGAAGTTGAAGGACTGCCTTATTATGATCCACCCCAAAACAAAAGGCCCACATTTCTTGGACGATAAACATACCTTCTTTCTTTTTCCCCCCTAAGATGTGCAATTACTCACATTTTAATATTTATAAAATCAAAATGTATATGGGATACTTTTTATGACTAGTTCATTATATATTCCCCACAGCAGTTTTCAAACTAGCGACACATATTATAAACAAGGGTTTCTTCAAATGAAGAATATTTTGTAATTTATTGTGCGTTGGTTACAATCAGTCTAAGATTAGGAATCACAGGAGTTCTAACTACTATGCACAGTAACCATGGGTAAGCTCAGAAAGAGGCGAATAAAAGTGAAAAGGAAATAAGAGAGGACTGAAGGAGGTGATAAAAAATTAAAAGCAATAGTAGGGGCAATGGAGACTATCTCTGACTGATTAGGCCTTTTCTTCCTTCATTTGCTTATAAAACAATAATGAGAAATGATGTACCTACTAACATGCTTTCAAGAGGACATCTAAAAATTTTAATAACAAGTATAAATTTATGCGGTTCAAGTTATTGAGACATTAGTTATTGTCTTTCAGCTCACAATCCACCTTTTTAATACTAGGGCACTTTGTAATACTAGGGCAGAGACTTTATAATGCACATTTCTATCTTTCCAGCTGTCATTTCATAAATATTGACATTGAGAAATCAATCTTTCCATCATTCTTTTAAGTGTGTCTGAGGTAATGATTTCCAACTTAATAACAGTTGATTTTTTTTAAGCTAGCATTTGAAAAAGTACATGAACTTGCATTTGACAGTTGGAAATTTTGCACTATTCCTTCAGCATATGGGACTCATACTTCCTATCCTACTTTGCTCACAGTTATATTATATTCTAATATAATTTTTATATCCTAATATTATATCCTAATGTAATTTGAAGGAGCCCTGGTGCTGTAGTGATTACATGTTAGGCTGTGATATGCATGGTTGGCAGTTTGAAATCAACAGCAACTCCTCAGGATTAAGACTGGGCTTTCTACTACCGTAAACAGTTACTGTCTCAGAAACCAACAGGGGAGCACTATGCGTCGGCACTGAATCTAAGGCACCAAGTTTCTTTTTTTAAATATAGTTTTGTGTCCAAAAGTCTTTCATGGACTTTCACCTGCCATGTTTCTCAAAAATTTAAAATCACCTTATAAAATGTCCTCATAAGGTTTTCTATGTTAAATATTTTATTTTGAACAGATTCAGCATTGTAACTACCATTAATTCATAACCAATCACAAATAGACATAAATTACAATTATGAAGCATAAGCTAAACTTTCGTTGGCAATGTATTTCTTAGTGAGATGGACTGGAAGCAAGTTATAGAACCTGGATTCATGGAGATTTTAACAAAATCCATCATTTGGAATTGTTTCGATCTCCCAGAGGTTTCATTCTTAAGGCCATGTGCCATATTGGAATTCTTTTATCAAGTGGGAATGGGGTGATAGTGAAAGGAGTTGTGGGAAAGGAGGATACCCAGAGCATACTCACTGGCATACCACCTTAGGAGAAAGTATGTATGAAAACTGAATTAAAACTGTACAACCACTGTGGAAAGTGGTATAGCACTCTCTCAAACACAAAGGAACAGGAAATGCCATATGACCCAGCAATGTCTCTACTCAGGATAGATAGTAAAGAAATAAGGAGCAAAACACGAGCAGATATATGTACACCCATGTTTATCACAACATTATCCACAATAGCAAGAAGATGGCAACAATCTAGATGCTCATAGGTGGAGGAATGGATAAATAAATCTTGGTAATAAATTAATAACAAACAAACTTTGGCACATACATACAATGGAATAAATGTGCATCACTCAAAAACACGGGATGAGATTAGCAAACATCTCGTGACATGTGAGAGAATCAGGAAGCTATCATGCTGAGTGAAGTTAGCCAATCCCAGAAAGGCAAATACTGTATGAGACCATTATTATAAAAATTAAAAATTTTAAAAGAACAGTTTTCATACCAAAAGAAACAGATGTTAGCCCCCAATAAAATAATTTCATTATTTAAAAAAAGAAAAATACATTTTACTTTTAGAACATATACACACAGAATCAGGAACAAAACCTTGCTGAAGGGTACTTAACCTTATTACACAAGAGGGTAAGTAATAGAATATTGATTAAAGATTTAAAATAATGTATTAAATAAATAAATTGAAATGTAAAAAAAAGAAACATGTTGATGATTACAGAGTAACTGGGGCTGGGGGAAGGGAAGGGCAAGGCAAGAGAAGAAAATAAACATTTAAAAATGATATAAAGATTAATTCCCGCAGAAGAATGCACTTCAGAGGAGAGCACTGAAGCTACAGCTTAGGGTGAGGGGCGCGTCTGATTAGAGCACACAAGAGAAACGAAAAGGGACAGAGAGGGAGGGGAACACATCCTGACCCACCACGCCCCAAGGACGATATTCCTGCTCAGAGCAGACAATGCACAAGAGAGGACCATAGGCCCAGCCCCACCAGGAGACACGACGCCCCTCACAGAACCATAGTACTATGGAGAACAACACTGGAGACACAGTGTGGGAATTGTGCCCAATCTGACCCCATCACACTGGGGCAAAACACCAAGGGCATGCAAACGTGCAGGAAGGGGAGCAAAGCGATGAAATTCCCAGGGAATACCTAAAATAGACTTTGACGACATAGTGTGTCAACCCATCAGATTGTGTCAACCCATCAGATGTGTCAACCCAAAATAGACTTTGACGACATAGTGTGTCAACCCATCAGATGTGTCAACCCATCAGATGGCGCAAGACTGGGCAGTGTATTGTTCTGTTGTCGGCAGGATCATTATGAGTAAGAACCAACTCTATGGCTCCTAACAACAACAACAACAACAACAAAAACAACAACAGGTCAAAATATGGGATTCCAGTATCAAAATCCAAATTCCAGAAAAGGTCTAACTGAGGGTTTTGTAGCCATAAGAGGAACTTCCACATAGAATCTTTAAATTTTAGGGATGGACAGGGCTTGCAAATCATTGAGTCTAGCCTCATCCTATTAACCCAACTGCCCATGTAACTAGAGAAAATGCATGAAAATGCAATGAATGAAGTGGATCTTGTATTTTAAAAATGCTTATTTGTATAGCTTCAAAATAATCTAGTAACATTTTAGAAAGCTAGGGCATTTGGATTATTTATCAGCATAAGCAAGCACTGAGCTTACATTCTCTGATCAAAGAACCAAGGTTCTCTTCAGAATTCATCTTCCAACTTGATGAAAGTCAGTGCCAGGGAAGAGGATGCTATCTCCCATGAGTTATCAATGCTGCCCACACAAGCAACTGCTGTACTGTAGAGATCTTAAGGAATCTTCTTTCATAAACTAAGTTAACTCAAAGTAAATGTGGCTATTTCCAAAATGTCATGCTTTAAGCCAAAAATCACACACTGTGATATACTAGTTAATTCATGCTTCTAATTTAAGGTTAAATACCATTCACTTAAAAATCATTGGGATTATGTTGTCATCCTTGAGGTGAGCCCCCAAAGAGTAGAGAGATGCATTTCCTTGGGCCACAGGATTTTCAAAACCAAAGCAAAATATGTAGTAAAAAAGAAAATGCCAATGTGCTCACCCAAGTCTTGACCATGAGCTCTTTTGTTTCCTTGTACGTAGAGAAGAGAAAAGCCTTCATAGATATGAACAGTTCCCTGTGGGCATTGTGGTGTTTCTGTAGTCTGACTGTGGCGTGTGATGAGGAATCCATGGACAACAGAGGAAGTACCAGGTGGGCCGGGGGGACCTTGCACTCCATCTGGCCCGGGAGGACCATCCAAACCACGAGTACCTATTTTCATGAATTTATCAAGATGCAAAATTACATAAACTCTGATCCATTATTATGATTGTCAGCAAAACATTATGGCCTCATTCGATTATATAGCTTCGTTAGGGTTAGGGTTAGGGTTAGGAAAAAAAATGATTATATAGCTTCATATTTATGGAATATCTAAACATTGTTCGATATTTGATATCATGGGTTTGAAGAAAAGATAGGGTCTCCACCCTCAATTTTTTTTCCTGGAATTAGTCAAAGACATTAGGTACTAAATCAATGCTGGACAAATGAGAATTTATATCTGAAGAATTGATACTTACTTGAGGAACCTGTACATTATCTAATCTTTTACTGTATTCAAGTGCTACAAGCTCCAAGATCACGTCAGTTGGCTATTTTATTCATCAAGTAGAAAAGAAAGAAAAGAAGGATGTATTGCTATCAGTCTGCCACCCTCACTGCTGAACACTATTTTCCTTTGAATCTGGCTGGGAAATTATTCTCAGGCACACTGCTTTGTTTAGAGACTAGGCAGGGCCTTCTCAGAATTATTTATAAAATGTCTCTTTTCAATCAACTCATAGTTCCTCCCTCTCCATTTAGTCTCCTAATTTGAGACCATTTAACAATTCTGTCTGTAATTTTTTGGTGGGGGGGGGAGGGCGCGTCACAGCAACCATTATATGTGATGACGATGATACCAGCTTGTTTCTTCCCTAGAAATATAGAGTTAATGAAATGTGAGGGTGTTGGTTCTAGAAAAGCTGTATGTATCACTACTCTGCCACTAATAATTTCCCCCCACATATACTCTGTGTTATTACACATCTCAAATTGCTAACATACACTAAAAACCTATTTAATTTATACTCTTCTATTTCTATTTTAGCAATATTATTTTACGGCATTTTTTGACAGCAAAAGTTATTTAGGTTGATAACAGAAAGGAAATCTAGTAGACACAAGATTCAAAATTATCATGAGCACCTATTAATGAATGGCCTCAAAAAAATGCGTATCGAATTGGCATCTGAGCACAGATTTGTTCTTGTCCCCTCAGCATGATGCTCATTAAAGCTCGATGGGAACAACGTCCACTTTTCAGTTATACTTTATTGCATTTTATGAGGGGAATTAGAGTCTTACTGTGATTGTTTTCAAAAGTGGGCATATTCACAATAGTTTCGAGATTCTAAAGAGATTTAAATAAATATCTTGAAATTTAGCTAAACAGGTAAGTACAGTGAGTACCTGGACAACCTCCATCTTAAGAGCACTGGGTTTCTAGTGCTCTAAAAACATAAGTGAACACAAGAAAATCAGTACTGATGATGCACTTGGTTAAGAACATGAATGCTAAGCACAAAGTTGGCAGCTTGAACTACAAGTGAGAAAGATGAGGCTCTCTGCTCCAGTAAAGATTTACAGTCTTGAAAAGTCTATACTGGGTCGCTAGGAGTTAGATTGGCTCGATGGCAGTGAGTTTTGGTTTGAGACATTTCTCTTGCGGTAACGAATTTCTTTGAATGTGCCTTCCTGGATCTTCCCTAGTTCTAAACGCACCATCTCACTGACCTCTCTCAAGAAGTGAATTTGGAGACCATATTCAGAGGTTTTGCAGACTTAAAGACCAAAGTTAGCATCATTACTTTAATTGTCTTACCTGGCTGGCCTGGCAGACCTGGATCTCCTTTGCGCCCACCTGCACCATCAAAGCCAGGAAGCCCATTGCGTCCAGGATCTCCTGGAGGGCCATTGGGACCTACAGGATAAAAGAAATGGGGTTTACAAATGTGGGTAGAATTTCTACATCCAAAGAGATCTAGGAGCCCCATGGTCCTTGAGAGTTAATGAATTTATGAACCAGTCTTGGCTTGAGCCCAACTAAACTGAAGGAAAAACTCAATCCAAGGACAGTAGAATCAGGTAAGGATTTCCTTGTAAACATCCCACTGGCTGCTGAGGAGATTCCCTTAAGATGGTAGATATGCTTCCTTTGCTTTTAGGATCAGACAAGGCATCAGAGTCTACCATCCTTTTAGATAAGACTTAATGCCTGATGTACTTTATTTATGGAAAGACTGCCAGTCAATCACTTAATAGGAGAGAGTGTCTGAAGCTAGTTCTTAGCTTTATACTATAATCCAAGATGGTTGCAAAGATAGTGTTGAAGACTCAATTTCATTGTTAAGTTAATGGTCTTAACAGCGGGGAATTGGTAGCCTACTGTATCAGTCTACTATCTTTCTGGTGGTTAGAATAAAGGAAGAACTAGCTCTTAAATGCATATTCATTTTGTTAGAGTTTATTAGATCTTCTTTTAACTATTTATTGTAAATTAGCTGAAGGTTACAAAGCAGATGATCAGTTTTACAAATAATAATCCAAACACATTTTGTTTATGTAGTTTCTTTTTTAAACAGTTTTACAGACATATAATTCACATATCATACAGCTCAATAGTTTAAGCATATTAAGAAGAGTTGTGTAATCATTAATCAACATTGGAACGTTTTCTTCTTTCTTTTACTCATTATTATTAGCTCCCCATTCCCTCCAACTTCCCCTGCTATAATCCCAAGAAACTATTAAACCGGGTACTATCTCTATATATGTATATATCCTGGATTCATAGAGAGAGAAACAAACAAAAGCAGGAAGAAAAATAAAATAACCAGTAACGATCACAAAATAAAACCTCGGGGGGAAAATATGGAACGTTTGACAAATTAGCACATCATCCTTAATGTAGGGACCTTACTAATTTCTCTGTATATTTCCAATTTTTGTATATCTGCTTCCAAAGTGAGCACTGCATCTACTTGCTGTTGTTTTGTTTTGATTTTTAATAACTTTATTAGCATATACTTCACATATCATACAATGTAATCATTCAATCATAATGTGAAAATTTGCCCAATCATCACCACAATCAATTGCAGAGCATTTTCCTCTTGTACTCATTGATGTTACCTCCCAATTTCCTCCCAACCTGCCCTGCCATGCCTCCAGGCCATTATCAATCCAGTTACTGTCTCTATAGATTTACCTATCCTATATTTCACATGTGGAAAATCATACAAAACACAAACAGGAAGCAACGAACAATCCAACCCCCCACTCCCCCAAATCCTCAACAACAATGACTAGACAAGAGACAGAAAAACCTCAATCAAAAAGAAAGCAGAAAAGATTAAAAACTGAAACAACTTTAAAATGCTAGGGTTTGAAACACCGTTAACCTAGCCATTCAAGTTAAAATAGATAGCAAGAGGAGCTAGAAGAAATTAGACCGAACTTAAAGGAAATGGGGGTATGAGAAATTATTCAGAAAAAGAAGAAATGAGACCTGTGGTGATCTCCCATGTAAAACAATGTGGAAAATGTTCCCACATAGATAAAGCTTAAATGATGAGCTGTAAAGATACCTGGTAAGCCTTGAGGTCCTGGTAGTCCTGGTGGACCTTTCAATCCAGGTTGGCCTGGGAGCCCTGGAGGACCAACATCTCCTTTGATTATAATATTCTGTCCTGAAGGACCAGGTAATCCAGGGGGACCTAAGAGTCCAAAGACACAAATTTCAAGGCAGATAAGAGAAATATCTAAAGAAGAATACAAGCCAAAGTGACAAAAGTTATAGGAAGAATCAGTGTGAGAGAACCAGTTATATATATAGTACTGTGACTATATGGATCCAACAGAGATCTATGTGAGAAAACGATACCGTTTTCTTCTCCAGAAACAGAAATCTTATCTATCTATCTATCTATCTATCTATCTATCTATCTATCTATCTATCATCTATCTATCTATCTATTATCTATCTATCTATCTATCTATCTATCTATCTATCTATCTATCTATCTATCCATACTTGGGGAAAGAATCAATGGCTAAGTAATAGGCACATCTTTCCTCTTTTAAATCATCTGCAGTTCTTGTCTGTGGTACTTGTCAAGGAATCCACTGAACTAGTAAGGTAATTTAGCTGATGCGCAGTGTTGCTGTTTATAGGCACTCTCTCTCAGGCTCTTAGCATAAAGAACTGTTTTCACATAACAATATACAAATATACATATGTAACTTGTCATCTATTCAATGGAAGATGGTAAAGGTAATATGAAAACCCCAAACCAAACTCTTCGCCATTGAGGTGTCCTACCCCCTCAAGTCTTGGAAACCCACAGGGACAGTTCTACTCTGTCCTATAGGGTCACTGTGACCTAGTATGAAAGTCAGTGAAAATCTCAGTGAGGCACTCGTTGCACACCTATCTGACATGGAAAGGTCTGCTATCAATATTGCACTGATGAAACAAAAATGAGAGCTTGAGAGATTAGTGACTAGATGGAGAGTGTTGATGAACTCCATTTCATTGTCCAGGCCTAGCAATTAGGTTGAAATATGGATTGTAAACATAAATATTTCTCTATGCATTTATGTGTGTCAGATAGAACTAGCTCAAGAAATAAGTCTTACCTGGGGGGCCAAGAAGTCCTGGTTCTCCTTCAGGGCCAGTTGAGCCAGGTATTCCACTGGGTCCTTTCATGCCTGCAAAGAAAGTACACACAATCTGTACAGTGCAGCAGAAGGGCTTCGTACTTAGCCTAGTCAAATCTGAAAATAGCTATCTTGCTACAGAGAGTCTGCTGTAAAGAGAAATCCCCAAACATCCCTCTAAATACCTGGGAATCCTGGAACACCAGGGAGTCCAGGATCTCCCTTCATTCCATTGAGACCTGGCCGACCAAGATTACCCTGAGTAAATAAAAATCAATAATTTTACAAGACAAATAGAGGAGAGAGGGGAGAGAAAGCATAAGTAGTGTTTATTATGTAATATTTATAGCGCTGGCTCTAGAGGCAGAAGTCCTGGATTCAATTCTAAATGTGCCCTGTGGTTGCCTTCTGTGACCTTGAGCTGATTAATTAATCTCTTTGAGCCACACTTTTCTCACTTCTGATATGGGAGAACATAATAGTATCTGCTTCATGGGGCTGTTGTGAGCATTAAATGGGATAGTTCAACCAATGTGCTTAGAAAACTAACTGGCTCATGATGGATGCTTAACAACTAGGGTAAAGCAGAAGACAAAAACTTCCCAGAAAAGGAAAACTCAAAATATTTCCCATTAAAATGATAAACAAAAAGTGGTAAGAACACACCCTGTCAGAGGCAGAATACCTGTGAGACCCAGACAAACAAGGAAGTCTATCAAGTACCACCTTTCATATGTTTCAATGTAGTAGCAACTGTCTTATGTTTATGTTTAACATTTCTTTTTTGGTTTATATCTAATGTGATATGTGTTTGGATTTGATATGCAAAAACCGTAGTGGGTACTTCTGAAAATATTATCAAAATATAGTAGACCCTGGCTAGTAATTGGGCTTGGTGGTGAGGAAAAGTGCGGGAAGAAGAGTTAAAATTAAGTCTAGAATGGATGTAAAGGACTATGGAACAGCCAGATCATTTAGGGGGATGCGGAACAAGTCCACATATGAGACAATGGAGCTTCGACTAATAAAGATGGAAAGGGGGACAAGCCTGACCTAGCCTGTTATGTCAAAAAGTATGAGAGAGAGAAAACAAAAAGGAGGTATGTCAAAAAGACATAGCACCCAGCTCAAAGATGCCCTTATGGACCAAATCTGAGATGATTTGAGTATAGAAACCAATCATGATAATTAAAATATACGTACATAAATCATTGACAAAAAGGAATCCACATGGAAATAAATTAGTAAGTAAATTGCTTACAGTCAAAATGATTGATAAATTTGGAGGATATGCTAGAGTTGTATAATCTGCATTTTGCCACTAACTCAGAATGGATTGGTTGCAACAAAAATAATTAATAGATTAAATCCCAGGGATAATTTTGATGAGAAACAGTATAATTGCATGATATTAATATGCCTCCCCATCGCTTTGTTTATTAATTTCAAGGAGAGATAGAGTCATCCATATAATATAACAACCAAAAGACACCTTGAGTGGGTAATCAAAATTAAGACCATGGAGGGGCAGATGGACATCTGATATCTTGAGATGGGCACAATATCACTTATGTAGCATGGCAGTTGGGGTTGCAGCATAACCTGAATCTTATTATGAGGAAACATCAGACAAGAGGGAGACTTACAGTTCTCCCAGGATGCTGCAAACAGTTAACATGTTCGGCTACTAAGCAAAAGGTTGATGATTCGAACCCACCCAGAGGCACCTTGGAAAACGAACCCAGTGATCTTTTTCCTAAAGGTCACTAGCTTGAACACCTATGGAGTAGTTCTACTTGGCACACATGTGGTTTCACTGTGTAGGGATCAATCAAGGTCATGAAAGAACAATTTGATTCATAGGTACTATTCTAGGCTAAAGGAGACTGGAGAGAGATGATCAAGATGATGGTGCAGCTATGAGCTGGACCTGGCTGGATGGCCAACTAACAACAAAAACAAGAGAACAAAAATGCAGTGCAGTATCTGGCCTGGATTCTATAAACTCCCAAACCCAAACTCACAGCCATTGAGTTGACTCTGACTCAAAGCACCCCAAAAGACAGGTAGAACTGCCCCTGTGACATTCCAAGCCAGTAACTCTTAAATGAGCAGAAAACCCTGTCTTTCTGCCGTGGAGCCTCTGGTGGTTTTGAACCGTTGACCTTGCAGTTAGCAGCCCAAAGTGTAACCTCTACACCACCAGGAAGGAAAATTACTTCTAAGGGTATTGTTAGGCAAAGTGATACAATTGGAGTATTACTCATTCACTCAGTGCCATCAAATAAATTCTGACTCATAGTGATCCTATAGATAGTTGAAAATAAAACAGCCTATCAATGTTTAAATTTCAGAAGTTAATAAATAATTATACCACGGTTATATATTTTAAGAGATTATTTTATTGCAAAATATGCACTCAAGTACTTAGGGATAAAAAGTCATGATAGGTGCACCTTCCTAATGCTTCAAAATTATATATCTATTATATACAATAGATATTATAATACATATAATGGAAAGTAATATATACTAGCTATATAATTATATATATATAAAACCATATATGTGTGTGTGCTCAAACCAACATTGAAATTGGATGCATATATGTATTTATGTATGACTCTTCTTTTTTATAGATGAAGATGGAAATCCAGAGTCAACAGTCTTCCTCACAGGCAAAAAGCAGAAGTGTGAGATGGAGCTGAAACTTGATCCTAACTCTATCTGTTTTCAATAACTAAAACACTCCCATGCACCACAATTACTTCCCTCTGGGTTCACTCATCCTCACCCAATGCTCTGCTATACATATCTCCTTTGCATAAATTTGTTTCCACTGAAATGAAGGCTTCCCAAATCTAAAATGCTAAGGACATCAAAGAGTCCAGGGAAAGTAACTTGTGAGTAAATGGGCTTCTCCTTTCTTCTGTAATTTACCGGTTAGCCTTGTATAGAGTTTCTGTTCAGTATACATGAATGACAATGATACCCCTTTGAACTGAATTCTCATTTTAAAAAATGAACAGTTTTATTTATGTATGCTTCACAAACTATACAATTCAATAGTTCAATCACAGAGGTAAACACCCTCATCTTTCTCTCATCAAAGAGCGACTCCTATGTCCTACCGGGAATCCTGGTGGTCCTTGATCTCCTTTCAAACCAGGCAAGCCTGGTTGTCCAGGTGGGCCTGGGTTCCCCCTCTCTCCTTTAATGCTTCCATGTCCAGGGAGACCCCGGGGACCTTCTGGACCTGGTAGACCTTGATAATGCACAACAAATGACCACAATTCAGTAAGGCACAAGAGTGAGTAGCAGAAGAGCCAGCCCTTTAAAACACTAATCTACTAGCTTGCAGAACACAAGTTCAGATTGCATTGCAATATATTGACTGAAGCTGCTCCCCTTTGTAATATAAATGGGACTGGGTACTTTTTTGCTATTAATAGTGGTTTTCAGACACTGGTTTGCATGGAATCCACTAAGCTCATATCTAAAGAAACACTTTGGGGTAGAATACAAGTTTGCCTCTGTTACCTTTAATGAAGTCTACACCTTTAGAGTGGGAAAAGAAAACCCCTATTATATTGCAGAACAGGACCAAAAAACCAAACTCACTGCCATTGAGTTTATGCCAACGCATAGAGACTCTGTAGGACAGAGTTGAACTGCCCTTGTGCGTTTCCAAGGTTGTAACTGTTTGAGGGATTAGACATCTAGGTCTTTCTACTGTCGAGTGGCTGGTGGTTTTGAACTGCTTACCTACCACCAGGGCTCAGTAGTCTTAAACCAGAGAATGCATCAGAATCATCAGGAGAGCTTATTAAAACGTAGACTTCCAGGTGTCCCCACTTGCAGACTATTGGATTCAATAAGGTTAGGGAGGGACTCGAGAATTTGCAATTTAATAAGTGCCCCAATTAAGGCTTAGGCAGCTGGTTCCAGGACTAAGCATCTTTGAGAAGCACTATGGTGAGGCAATCAAGTAATTTATCTCACTGTAATGAAAATAACATTCTTTTCCTTTGAAGGAGTTATTTTTATTCAGCTTTTACGACTATGCAATTTAGATAGTCACTTCAGCAAACTAATTGCTTAATTTCACCTTAGTGATATGTTTTAAATACATGCTTATATTTAAAAGTGCCAGACAGTTTACTTGTTCGATCTAGCTGTTTGAAACCTTAGTTTTTCATATTTCCATATTTCATATGTATTAACTGGGGAAAACGAATTCTGAGAGGAAAATGAGTTTGTGAGGTGAAATAAACAAATTCTGTATGTAGCTTGTATACAAATAAAATCATATAAATTAGGAGTTTTGCTAAACTGTTTCCCTGATACCATGATTTTAGCCTTTCGTTCTAAACAAAGATGATCAGTTCCGTTAAGCAACCAAGGGGAGCTTCTTATTGGCCAAGGCCTTTTGCACCCAAAGGGATCTAGCTGTTGTCTGCTTGCAGATGGTTATGCACGAGGGGCTTTCATTCCATTTTTCCAAGAACTTTTGGAAGCCCCCTAGTAGCTGCTGAGGCTGAGACTAAGTCATCTTGTCTTCAGAAAATAATTACAACCCCCTAAATAATAAACTCATAGCAACTCTGTAAGACAGAGTAGAACTGCCTCTGGGTTTCTGAGACTGTAACTCTTTACAGGAATAGAAGTCAATGCGTGACCTCTACACCACCATGGCTCCAATGAATCAGAATAGGCTCACGGGCAGTGAGTTTAGTTGTTCAGAAATAATAAACAGCCAATTCATTTAGACCCTCTCTCCTGTGGTGCCCTTTGTTTTTCATTGATATTGACAAAAATGAAAGACATTCACGGATTATTCCTGAAGGGAGTAAATGTGAATGTCCAGGTTTGTGTTAATGGTTGAATATGGAAAAAAGGGCTACCTTTTGATTAGAGATGGAATTATGACCTTTGCTCCCTTCCCAATACTCTAAGACCCAGAATTAATGCTACAGAGGACTTGGGTACAGTGATGAAGTTTGAATACCAGCTCTATTCAATATGAGCTGTTTTTCCTGCCTATGTTATATTTATGTTTATTAATGCATTTGGCCTCAATTTTTTCCTGTTATGAAATGGAAATAAGAATAATACCTACCGTATTAGGTTGTTGTAAGGATTAAATGAGCTAATATGCTGAAATCACTTACCAGAGTTCTTAGCACCCAGTCAGAACTATGTGAGGGATTGTTACTGTTATTTTATAACTAAAAGTAAAAACCTATTTTTAGAAAGAGGAAGCTTTTAATCTTTCAGGAATTCCTATGTGATTTCATAACACTACCTGACAAATACGATAAGAGAAAGCATGTTTGCAACTGTAGAAAAATGGTTTTATCTTTAAACAATTTAATAATGTATATCTATTATTATTATCTGTAAATAATTTAATTATTACACTCTAGCCCAACAACCAGGTGATACACTCAGAAATTCCCTTCCTGATCAAAAAGAATGGGTTGGGAGACTCTGTATTTTAAAAAAGCAACAGCTTGATGTCTGTCAAACCAGAGAGGGTTATCCATAATATGTGATTTGAACTAGAAGCCAATTAGCAGATCAGCTTACTTGGAAAATCAGAAACTATTTATAAATTAGTCTAATAAGAGTGACAAAGTAAAGATTAAAATGGAAAAAGGGGGGTAGGGGTGGGAAACTTTTATGGCCCTCTTCTACCATCTGAAAATTTATCAGCCATTGTATCATATAGAGGGGGTGGAGCAGATCAACCAATTAGGCATGTGATGGGCAGTACTCTTTTTGAAATTAAAGAGAAATAGTAGAAAATTGGCAAGACAACATTTAAGACTTCCTTTTCTAGAGTCCCCCAAATTTAGATGAATGACATAAGGGATTTATTAATTTATTGACGTTTTTTTTTTAAAGCACTATTCTCATTTTCTGTTATGGAAAATATCAGTAAATGGATAGGTTGATCGCAGGCAACGTATGTAGAGTTTCCACATGGGTCATAACTCACTGCCATCGAGTCAACGCTGACTCATATCTACCCTATAGGGCAGGGTAGACCTGCCTCTGTGAATCATCCAGATTGAGACTGTTTATGAGAGTAGAAAGCCTTGTCTTTCTCCCAAGGAGCTGGCTGGTGGCTTCGAACTTTGGACCTTGCCAATCACAGCCCAATGTATAACCACTAAGCCATTAGGGTTCCTTACTCACATGGGCCATGTACCTGTCTAAATAAATGCAGTATTGAATAAAAATAAGTATTCTTTCACTTAAAATTTGACAGGGCTTCATGCATAGATTACCTATTATAAAGAAGTAAAGCCATGAAGACTTTGCGCCATTTTAAACTTGATCATAAACAAGTCACGTTTCCTTCACCAAAATGTTAAAACCAGAGCAGGTAATATTTGAGGGTAAGAACACTTTTCAATGACTTCTTAATTATAGCAAAATTTTGCAATTCTCTTATCATACGTACAAAGCATTAAAACAAAACAAAAACAAAAAGAATTGACCAGTGAAGTATCTAACCTTGAAAACCTGGGAAGATCAGAGTTCACCAAAGCCCAAAGATCGATGTTAGCAGTATCAGACATCACACAGTACAAAATAAAATTATGAGTTAGAAGTGGTTCACATTACTACAAAAGTTAAACAATAACCCTCTTTGCCAGCACTTTTTATACCTACAGCATAATCAGTATGCAAACAGAACTATACAAGAGGTATGGTGAGCCAAAGCTTTTCAAACAGAGTTTATTCTAGAAAATAAGCCCCCTAGATCAAAAGGTTTAGCAAAGACATCAAGGGTAACACTGCTATTTTGGCTTTCCAAAAGTTAGCTTTTCAAAACAATAAAGTTGGCAAAATAGTACCATTTCACTGACAACCTTCAGTTCCTTTCACTAAAGGATAATTCGGGTTAATTATTTAAGTTTATGTTGACCTCTGTCATCCTTTAGTAAATAAATTAGGTGACAACTCTTAGTTTTTTCAGACTTTCCCAATGGGATACAGTTAACTTTAATGTCCTCATTGACAAAAACAAAACAAAAAACAACAAACAAATAGAGATCAAAGAGCTGAATAGAAAAATATCAAAATATACGATGGCCATGGCCAACTGTAGTTTGAAAGAGTTTTCCTTATTGAAAATCATTTCTTAAAGCCACATTATGATTGCTTTTTAGAATTCCTCATTACAGCAGAATTTAGAGGACTCATTATAGAGGAAAAGTCAATATATATGAGTTTACTATGAAATTTGGAAATAGTGATTCAAATTTTTCAAAGAAGTGAAGACCATCAGTGAATGTAGGCTAAATGGTGGCATGCAATATCCCACTCCAAATCACATAAAATGTCACATTTACTTTTTCATCATTCAATTTACATATTAAGTCAGACTATTCATTATTTTAAAAAAAGGATAAATTACTTAAAAGATAAAAAGCCTACAAATAGGATACCACTTGGTTAGTGTTAATTGACTATAAATATAATTCTTTTTCTTATAAGTCTTGCTATGATTTATAAACACTGAATATTAGCAGAAAGACTAAATATGCTAGAACACCAAATCCTGAGTTTTTGGAAATGTAAGAGATAATCTTTGTTCTAGTATTTAATATGTGACTTTGGGCAAGGGAATTGCTTCATGTCCGTTTTCTCATGCATTGATAGGGCTAATAGTGATACCTGTTCTAAGCATGCTCAGTGGGTTCTTTAAAAGATTAGACTCAATTTTAAAAATATTGACCTAATATCTGCCATGTACAAGACCTAGGGGCCTAAAATGAAATTATATTATATGATGTAAATTATTGCAAACTGTATAAAATATAAAGCACATTACAATTACTGCCCAGTCACCACATTGTAAAACATTTGATATTTTGAAATTCAGAAGGTTAAAATTTTGCCTGTGTATTTACATGGCTTCTAAACCACAGCTAGTGAAAGGACTGCAGATAACACTGAGAGCAGGCTGGTCAGATAATTAATTAAATAATCAGAATTCCTCCCTAAGATGATGCAGAGTTTGGAAATAAATACTCTCTTTAATAACTCTTAGAAAAGGAATTCATTGATATACATTTCTGTCTGAATAATAGGAAAACTAGGGATTATATCATAGCAAAACTTCTAAGATACCAATTTCTAAAAGGTAACACTTTAATGAGTTATATGCCAACTCAATTGTGTGCATGAGGTTCTCAATCCATTATTTGCAAACCATTTAGCTAAAAATAAAGCGAAGTAAAAACTTAAAGTCTTGGATGTAAGGGGTAATTACTAAAGTGATGAGTTGATCAGACTATTATTCTGAATCCATTTCCATTTAATGTATAGCCTTCAAATGTTTGCAAAGAAAACATCGCAGAGACCAGGTTTCAATAGTTATGTGATTTAGAGCACATATGGTAAAAGGCTGTGATATCAGATTTTTAAAATGTGGTTTTGTGGGGTATATCGAGAAATGCTCTTTCTAGCTGACAGTTAAGCCTAGCAGTGATTAGAGAGCAGAGTTTTACATAAGTCATACAAAGACCTGAAGGATGACAATGTGCCATTGTCTTGGGTGTCCTACCTGTCTATTTCTGATCAACAAGCTTGGCCTCTTTTATGATTTTGAGGATTATGAAGCCCAGAACAGTGTTCAGTGTGTAACTTTGTATTTAGTTTGCATTTTTCTTTTATTTACTCTTGTAATATGGTTCCAAAATATGAATCCAATGGAAGTGCTGATAATGCATCCAAAAAGAGGAAAATGCTCACAACTGAAAATAAGGTAGAAATAATAAAGTGACCAGAAAGAGCTGGAATTCAGTTGTACATCAGTGAAAATGATATGGTAGAAACGAGAGCAACAGGTGATTGAGTCTGAAGAAGAAGATGGGGACCTAAAACCTGCAAACACAAAAAAACAGTTTTGACTACGGACTTAATTGAAGTCTTTCATATCATTAAAGCAGGAATGGAAAAGTTAGAAAGCAAGATCCTAATAGAGATTTAGGAGTTTGCCATCCAGGTCTAAGCTACTACCAGGCCATTTAGGATGAGAAAAATAAGGTCTGTACAAAGCTTCCTTTGTAAATCAAAAAATTAACTGTAGTGTAAACTCTCTCCAGCGAGTCAAACCCTGATTCTCCAACACCAGGCTGCTTATCTTCAACAGGCCGGCACTCCATCTTTCATCTCCTGCACTACCCAATTAACTTATCATGTTACCTCATGAAAATCCCTCTCCCTATGTAAAATATGGATGGTATGAGCCTATTACTTTAATCATGATCTGTTTGTTTTTTTATCCAAATGGCTTGAAGAATTGCTTCTTTAATGATTTTTTTTAGGGACAGCATACCTATACTCATACACACAGATTTGCTCTCTTCAGTATAATACCATGTGCAATTACTTTTATTATTGCTAGGTTCTTAATATATACTGGATTATGTTTAAGATGGTTAATGTATTTGGAAATATTCCTTTGATATGTTTTCTATGCATAAAAAGTTAAATATGAAGGTAGGTAAAAAAAGCTACCTAAAAACCTTTATTAAACAAAAATATCAAAATTTGAAGCTATAATTTTCTTAAAATGCTCTCTTCATTTAGTTCTATACACTTATGAAAGTGGTATTTCCATCTCTCTAACCCTTCCCTGAAGAAGTCTGTGATCATCAAAAGAGTAGTTTGGACATCCTTGAGGGACTCAAGCCATGTTCCTTTTAAATATTTTTTTGAGTTTGGAGAACAAAAGGAAGTCTAAAGGGAAATTATCATGGCTGTGAGCTGGGTAGAGTAACAAAACCACTAAACAAAATTCTAGTTGGACAGCCCTTGATACTCTTGAAGAATGAGCATGTGCATTGCTAAGATGGGAGGGAAATCCTCAGTGAAATTTCCCCCCCACTGGTGCAGTTTTCAATTTTCCAAAAACTTCTTCATAAGCCCTGTCTTCTTTTAAAAAAATCTGTCAAGATTACTGTTTTAGAATTCTAGAAAACAGTCACCATAAACTTCTCAGCTGACCTTTCTCCTTGAATTTAACTGTCCCAGGAGATCTCCTCTTAAGCTGTTGCTTTGGTTTGGACCTTTTTTTAAGGCACTCTCATGAGACTAAGACAAACGTACTATTCAGAGAACTTGTCTGCAGCCATCTACTGATTGCAGAGACATACTTAAGCACTTTTTGTTTGTAATAAACCTGTGCATGTATGAATTGGAACCCTAGTAATGATACTCCTCTGTAATATATAGGAAGACAAAGATTTGGCTAACTGATGCTAACTATGAACTATAAGAACCTGTTCAGTGTTACCTACAGATTTGACTAAAAGGTAGACTTAGAAACTAATCACATTCATAACTAGAGGACTGCTTTACTGAAAACTACATCCTAGTTGTCTCTTTATCTTGATGATAGTTAATTTGTCTGCAGTGATCTTAATACTTTTTATGGTATGCATTCAGGAAGTACATAAAAAACAGTCCTCAGGGTTAGTGGAGATGTTGAAGTATCTGGAGATAAGAAAGTGGAGGCCGGGTCCAGATTCAGGGTAAAACTAAAATGGTAAAACTTGATTCACTCTATTACTCATTACATTCATAACTAGAATAAGAGGCACACACACCAAGCCATCCAAATTCATTAGCAGAAAGGTGATACAATCTTATTATGATAAATACTTAACCAAGTACTTGAGAGCCCTACATGATATTTCCGACCATTAATAACTAACAGTATGACCTCGAACAATCTTCTGTTGGGTTTCAGTATTTTTCCAGATAAAACTTTGATCCCTTGTGTAGCTGACATTCTACAAATCTATAAAATAATGGCTTTGAAGAGGAGAAAGAAATTATAGCAACATATTATGGGCAACAAACTGAATGATTCAGGAAGCATCGAAAGATGAAAGGAATACACAGAGCCACTGTGCTAAAAAGAACTGGTTGATGTTAAAATCTTTTAGGAGGTATCATAAGATCAAGAACTGGGAGTATTGAAGGACTATGTCCAAGCTGCATTGAAGAAAAACAGGACTCCAGAATTCAAGAGAATACTAATCAAGATGTTTCAACAAACTGATGCAACACTGGAGGTAGGTGCTTACTTATCTATACTAAGAATTAGGGAAGACAGCTATCTGGTCAGTCAATTGAAAGAGATTCATATCTGTGCCCATTCAAAAGAGAGGTGACCCAACATAATATAGATATTATTTAACAACATAGCTAATATCTCATGCAAATAAAATTTTACTGAACGTAATTTGCAAAATGTTGCAGCAATGCATACACAGGGACCTACTAGAGATTTGAGCTAGATTCAGGGGAAAGAATTTGAGGGATGTCTTTGTGAATGTAAGATGGATCTTGGCTACAAGTAGAGACTACCAGAAAGATGCTTATTTGTGCTTTACTGACTGTGCACAATAATTGAATGGTCGGATCATAACAAACTATGGATAATATTGAGAAGAATGGGAATTCCAGAACATTTAATTGTGCTCAGATGGAGCCTGTATATAGAC